GTGTGAGTGAGAGAGTGTGAGTGTGTGTGTGTGTGTGTGTGTGTGTGTGTGTGAGTGAGAGAGAGAGAGTGTGAGTGTGTAAGTGTCTGTGTGTGTGTGTTTGTGTGTGAGTGTTTCAGTTTGGTCCCCTGTGTTCATCAGCACTTCAGATAAATGAGATATTTTGATCAAAATCAGTCCTGCTTCACCCGCATCTTGTTCAGTCACTTAAAGGTACACTTCACCCAAAAATGAAACTTCTGTTATCATTTATTCATCCTCATGTCGTTCCAAACCTGTATGAGTTTCTTTCTTCAAAAGAAGATATTCTGAAGAATGTTGGAAACCAATCAGTTGACGGCAGCCATTGACTTCTATAATCTAGGAAAAAATACTGTGTAAGTCAATGGCTACCGTCAACTGTTTGGGTACCAATATTTTAAATATATATCTTATTTTGTGTTCAGCAGCTTAAAGAAACTCGTACAGGTTGAGGGTGAGTAAATGATGACACAGTTTTCATTTTTGGGTGAACTATCACTTTAAAACACAAGCCATTGATGGCAGTGGATGATAAGTGCTGATCTCGAGATGTATGAATTAATCACGTTTATAGATGATCTCTAATCATCTTGCTGCTTGGCAACTATAATCAGTCCACAGGCGACTGAGCTTTAGAACCCAAACAGAATTATTATGAGTTTACTGAGATTATGACTGTTAAAAGGGTAATTATTTCAGTTTATTTTACGCTTTACTGCATACATAAATTAATATTTTACACCGCCTTGGTCACACAAACACATGCCTTCATGTCTAATACTGTACTACAACCGCAATTTCAGAAAAGTTGGGACGTTTTGCAAAATGCCATAAAATCAAGAATATGTGACTTGTTCATTCCTATCCTTTATTTAATTGACAAGAGTACAAAGAACAGATTTCCATTGATTTCACTGGCCAACTTAATTGTATTTTGATGGCTGCAACACACACCAAAACATTGGGACAGAGGCATGTTTACCACTGTGTCACATCAACTTTCCTTTTCATTACACATTTTAATCGTCTGGGAATTAATAAGGATGCTAATTTTTAAAGTTTTGCAAGCAAAATTTTCCCCCAATCTCTGTGCCAACTTTGTTGGAGTGTGTGGCAGCCATCAAGATATTTGTTTTTATATATTTACAAAATACATTTAAGTTGGTCAGTGAAACACTGGAAATCTTTTCTTTGTACTTCTGTCAGTGAAATAAAAGCTACAGAGAATTAACAAATCAGATATTCTTGATTTTATTGCATTTTACAAAATGTCCCAACTTTTCTGGAATCGGGGTTGTATATTTATGTCTTTTTAAACACATTTGTTTATTTATTTATTTTTTTAAATATGTCTGTTTGTGTCTTTACCTATTCTATATGTTTACACAATCGAAAGATTGGGGTGAGTTTTTGTAATTAGTCTCTTCTGCTCTCCAAGGTTGCATTTATTTGATACAGTAAAAATTGTGAAATATTATTAGAATCTAAAACAGCTGTTTTCTATGTGAATATCTGTTAAACTGTAATGTATTTCTGTGATGCGCAGCTGTATTTTCAGCATCATTACTCCAGTCTTCAGTGTCACATGATCTTCAGAAATCATTCTAATATGCTGATTTGCTGCTCAAGAAACATTTCTGATTATTATCAATGTTGAAAACAGTCGTGCTGCACAATATTTTTGTGGAAACCGTGATACATTTTATTTTTCAGGATTCACAGATGAATAGAAAGTTCAAAAGAACAGCGTTTATTATTTTGTAACATTCTAAATGTCTTTACTGTCACTTCTGATCAATTGAATGCGTACTTGATGAATAAAAGTATTGATTTCTTTCAAAAACACTCTCTGCCCGGTACTTTATTTCTGAGTTAAACAGCACATAAAATCAGCAGAAGATTCAGAGCACAGACTAAATTATAGACAAAGATGAAAGTCATTTGGAGGAAGTTACTGATGAAAGATTCTAAAGACAAACATCATTATTTCTTCAGAATATTGTCACTGATGAATCATTCACATTCACAGTCAGTGTTGACCTTGATTTCATGTTGCAAATAAAGCAAATAGCATTGAATATGACTTGTGTTCAGCTCTTTGACACTCAGCAGCATTTCCACGACGAACACAAGACTGACAGTGTGTTTTAGTGTTTCAAAGCGAATGTCTTTCTGTCAGACGTTTACAGTATCAGCTCATATATACTCTCACCGTTCAGGCTGCTCATGTCAACCGGGTGATTGTCAGAAGGCCAGTAACTGCTGTCTCCATGACGACCTGAGACCAGAGAGAGAACGGCTGAGGTCAGAGTCACACACACTCACACTCAATCACACACACACACACACACACACACACACACACACACACACACACATGCACACACA